AGAGAGAGAGAGAGAGAGAGAGAGAGAGAGAGAGAGAGAGAGAGAGAAAGGCTTATGAACACAAAGTACAAAGTCTAAGAACCAGCAGGGACCAAGTGAGAACAGCCACCACAGTTCTATTCTTACCTTCTAGGTGATCAGAGAAAAAGAACAAAATTACAAATAATAGTGAGCTTTGGTCTGAGGCATGCCTGAGTACAGAAGTGCCGTAGACAGGAGACAGGGTTTTTCTGGGGACTGGATTTCCTTTGAACAAAGTCATACAGGATGAACTGAAAGTTTTTGGAAGGAGAAGAATTAAAACCCAAGAAGAGTCTAGAGGTGCTGGTGACTGAAACCCTAGGTGTAGGTGGCAATGGACAGAGGAGAAGCCTGGGGGCACTTATGAGGCACAGGCTCTTTCTTGAATGCTGGACTAAGAAATGGGGTGCTCAGCCTGTGAACCAGTGACTCCCAGTTTTTCTTTTCAGCACCAAAGACCTTTGACCTATACTCTTTCTCTTCCTTTCGCCAAAATCTAACCTTATGCCTGCAAGATTCTGTGACCAAACAAAAGGCATAAGCAATGATATACAAGCCTCTCTGTTAGATAAAGATACCTGTGACCGTTCCATTAAATTACTAAAAAGAAGCAAATATAAAAACCCAATCAAAAACATTAAACTTCTTTTTCTCCTTTTTGCTTTTTATTTTTGCTACATATTCATTGTGCAAAATGGTGGGCTTCTTTATGACAATTATATGCGTATATATTATGTGCCTTAATGGTATTTATCTTATCTTTTTTGTCCTTCTTGCCCCAATACCTTTCCTTTTCTCAACTAGTCCCTGTTTATTTTCATTTCATATATTTAAAACCATGTATATTCCACATGAGAAAAATGTGATATTTGTTTTTCTGAGTCTCCCATTTCATCTAATATGATGATCTTTAATTTCATACATTTTCCTAAAAAATGACATACTTTTGTCACTCTGTATGGCTGATTAAACTCCATTTGTGTGTGTGTGTCTCACAGAAAATATTAAACTTCATTTTATTTTATTTTATTTTATTTTATTTCATGTGCATGTGTGTTTTGCCTGCATGTGTGTCTGTGCATCAAATGCATGGCTGATCTTGAGGAAGCCAAAAGATTGTGTCAGATCCTCTAGAGCTAAAGACAGTTGTAAGACACCATTTGGGTGCTTGGAATCCAACCTGGGTTTTCTGGAAAAGTGCTCTTAACCAGTGAGCTCTCTAGATCTATTAAAAAATTTTTTATGATTTTTAGATGTTTTATGGAGTTTATGTGGTCATTTACTATTAAGGATGTTTGGTTTCTGTGTTATTCTTCTTTGTGATAAAATGACACCTCAGGCAGGGCCTTTCAAGTGCTAGCAAGCATTCTACCATTGAGCTACATTGCCAGCCCTGACTAGTAAGCCTTTTATAAACTCTTTGTGAAGGTTGCAAAGTTGAAGCATCCCTAACTAAGACTAGTCTGTTGCAGACAATAGGGAGGCTGTTAAGCTGAGACATAAAACCTGTGTTTCAGGGGGATCTCATAGAAAACTGTAAGTAGGGTGGTCTGGGGTTACTCTCAAGAACCAGAAGAGAGATTGCTTCTGACAAAGGAGGGCAGATAGGATACTCCTGGATTCAGCTCTGTGTTCACTTTGTTGACTGACACAATATGAAAAGAAGTAATAGAAATATGGAGATGTTGAATTTGAGGCTTCCCAACTAGGAAATGGACTGCAGAGAACTGAGAATATAGTGAAGTGTGATAATTTCTCAGAGAGCAGCAATGAGGATATGGATATAGTTTAAGGTGGGAGAGAAACAAACTGCAGGACTCCAATGAAGAGCTCAATGTTCCCATCTCTTTCATCAACTTCAAGAGGTTCTCCTTGCAGCACTGTTTCATTAGACTTCAAGATATCCCATGTGCACCTGAAGAGGAAGTGTGCAGGTTGACATCAGACAGGGCAGGTTCATGGGGTTACAGCACTGTATGCTCAGAATACTTAAGCACAACAGAAAGAGGCAGAGAGGCTCTACGGGTCTGGACCTGCTTCTCATCTTTCTTGCTACCTTATAAATAATTTTCTTTTATTATAAGTATAGTAGTCATTTATTTTAGGAATGTTGATTAAGAAAAAGTCAAAACAAAAATCATACAGAATTCATTCTGAAGTGAGCTAGAGAGATGAATCCGTGGGTAAACTACTTGCAATCAACTTGTATCCCCTGCACCCACATCAAAAATGAACATAGCTATATGGAATTGTAACTCCAGAACAGGGAAGTGGAAATAGATGGATCCCCAGAGACCCTGTTCAAACAAAAAAACTAGCTAACTAACTAACTAACATAATCTTATGTTGAAAAGACAGAGGCAGGCAGAATCCTGCACCTCATTGACTAGCCAGGCTAGCTAAACCAGAAAGCTCCAGGTTCTGTGAGAGAACTTGTCTCAAAAACTAAAATGGTAACCTCATCCTACCCCTGTGTGTCCTTTGGTTGGTGGCTCAGCCTCTGAGAGCTCCCAGAGGTCTAGATTAGTTGACTCTGTTGGTTTTCCTGTGGGATTTCCTATCCAATGTTTGGCTGTGCATATCTTCATCAGTTTCAGTCTGATGCTGGATAAAGCCTCTCAGAGGACAGTTATGCTAGGATCTTGTCTGCAAGCATAACAGAGTGTCATTAATAGTGTCAGAGACTGGTGCTTGCCTATGGGATGGGTTTTGAGTTGGGCCAGTTAGCGGTTGACCATTCCTTCAGTCTCTGCTCCATCCTTGCATTTCTTTTAGACAGAACAAATTTGGGTTGAAAGTTTTGTTAGGTGTGCTGATGTCCTTATCTGTCTACTAGTGGTCCTTCCTGGCTACAGGAGGTGGCCTCTTCTGCTTCCATGTCCCCACTGTTAGGCATTGTGGCTAGGTATATTCATCCAAATAAACCATTTTTAAGTGTTTGTCACAGGGAATTAATAAGAGAGATGCACAAGAGTATTACTGCAAGAATGTTTGACACATCATTGTTTATAATATTGAAAGTGAAAAATATTCATGTTGTCTCATAGTGGTGGGTTAGTTAAGTATATTTTAGCTGGTTGATGTAATTGAATGTTAAAAATATTAAATATTAAAAATCAAATTTTGGAGAAGACTATTTAATAATGAGAACAAGTGTTCTTTATATACTATTAAAGTGCTTAAAGAATATATAAGAATGATTGTATCTTTGTGCAGGTTTACATGTACATGAATATGGTGTGTATGTGTATGCCTTTATAGACATATGTATTTAAATGCAAATGCTCTGGTTTGTATGTATATGTGAAGGCTAGAAGTTGATGTCAGGTATCTTTCTCAGATGCTAATAATTTTTATTTATTTGTTTATTTATTTATTTATTTACATCCCAAATGCTGCTCTCCCAGTCTCCCCTCACAGAACTCCTCACTTCATCCCCCTCCCCTTTTACCTCTAAGAGAGTGCCTCCTACCCTGAGGCACCAAGTCTTTACAGGATTAGGTACATCCTCTCCCACTGAGGCCAGAAAAAGCAGCCCTGTGCTGGATATGTGCCTGGGGGCCTTGAACCAGCCTATGTATATCAGCCTTTGGTTGATAGTTCAATCCGTGGAAATTCCCAGGCATCCAGGTTAGTTGACACTGTTGGTCTTCCTGTGGGGTTGCCATCCCCTTCAGGACCTTCAGTCCATCCCCTAACTCTTCCATAGAGGTCCTCAGGCTCACCTGTGAGTATCTGCAGCTGTTTCAGTCAGTTGCTTGGTAGACTCTCTCAGAGAATAGCCATGCTAGATTCCTGTCTGCAAGCACAACATGGCATCAGTAATAGTCTCAGAGCTGCCCATGGGATGGATCCCAAGTTGGGCCAGTCACTGGTCAGCCATTCATTCAGTATTTGCTCCATTTTTGTCCCTTCATCCCCTTTAGATAGGACCAATTTTAGCTGGAAAGTTTTGTATGTGAGTTGGTGTCCTCATTCCTCTACTGGGGAGCCTGGATGACTACTGGAGGTTGTCTACTCAGGTTCCATGTCCCCACAGTTTGGCTAAGGTCATCCTGGGAGCCTCTTCCATTCCAGGTCTCTAGGACTTCCTAGAGTTTCCCAACCCTGTCCCCCCACCACCACTGGCAACTGGATATTTCCATTCATTCTCCTGGCCCTCTGGACCTTTCTCCTGTCTCTCTCCGTACCTGATCCTGTTCCCCTACTTCCTTTCCCCCTTCTCCCACTCATGTCCCTCCTTCCCTCTACCTCTCATGACTATTTTGTTCCCCCTTCTAAGTTGGACTGAAGCATCATCCTCACTTGGGCCTTCCTTCTTGTTTATCTTCTTTGGGTCTGTGGGCTGTACCATGGTATTCTATACATTTTGACAAATATCCACTTACCAGTAAGTA